TAGGAAAATCATCTATTGCCCAATGATGACAAAACGAGTGAGGTTAGGTTGGTCAACCGACCAATGACGTCAAAATGGACTTGTCAAGGGTAGGCTACTTAGCAAAATCATCTATTGCCCAATGATGACAAAACGAGTGAGGTTAGGTTGGTCAACCGATCATTAAAGTCAAAATGGGCTTGTCAAGGGTAGACTACTTAGGAAAATCATCTATTGCCGAATGATGACAAAACGAGTGGGTTAGGTTGGCCAACCGATCAATGACGTCAAAATGGGCTTGCCTAGGGTAGGCTACTTAGGAAAATCATCTATTGCCCGATGATGACAAAACGAGTGGGGTTAGGTTGGCCAACCGATCAATGACGTCAAAATGGGCTTGTCAAGGGTAGACTACTTAGGAAAATCATCTATTGCCCGATGATGACAAAACGAGTGAGGTTAGGTTGCTCAACCGATCAATGACGTCAAAATGGGCGACCTGTCTCGTGACATGTAGCACATTCTTGGTAATGTTTCAACGGTAGCGCAACAAGAGACGAGACGGATTATCCAAGTACACCTGGGGTTGGGAAGGGTATCGGATAATCCCCAGGCGTCAAGTAACAACAAGCGCGGTTTGAAAAGGGATCAAAGGTAAACGGCAATAGTTCCCGTTCTTGTCACGGTCGTTTATTGGTTTTGTCCGACAAAGTCTCAAACCGGTCTGGACAGAGAAGAAATCGCTTTTGCAATTGCAACACACATACGCGCACCCTCATTTTGTGGTAAACTATTTTTATTTTAAGCGAATAAATATAAATGTAGAATTTCCACTTCATATCGATTACTAGGAATGAACGGAGATTATACAGTTATCCAAACTAATCTTCACGTAATTAATTTAATCTTAATTCACCGAGGACGGGTCTCGTATGCGACACGGGGTCGTAAATCATCTCAAGTTTCGCTCTGATGAACTAATCTTAGAGAGATTAAGACAGATTGTTCTTGGTCCGCCTGTTCTCGCTGTCACATTTGATTCTGAGTCACCGGCCGTTGAACCTGTCCTCTTTTCAACCAAGTCGTCCGTTCAGACAAAACTTCGGATCTTCATTGCAAAATTGAATCTTTCTTTGGGCGAAGAAAATTTCTTTTATCATTTAGTGAATGATACACGTGGGAAAAACATTTCACCATTGGGTATAATTATTAGCTATTTGTAATTGAATTGCTGCAAAGCATTTCATCATCTTTATCTAATTGGCCAACCCGATTTCATTTCTTGTGCAAAAAAAGGATAAATGCATCAATGGATCCGCCAGTTCCCGCTGTTAAACTTGCAAAGGTGATTTATCAATTATGAAAAAAAGAATACCCTTTAGTCTCAACTTGACCGGATTGTACCAAAATCGCTAATAATTTAGGTTTTCTTTTTAAAGAATATTACAAATCGATCAGAAAGAAAAGTCGCTCCTGAGACTGAATTGTTTTAAAAGCGTCAAACAATTCCAGCAACACTAACAAATTATACAAATTACAATTAATTGAGGTTTTTAGTTGAGATGAAAAAAAGTTAATGGCACGAGCGGGATTCGAACCTACGATCTTCGGCTAGATACGTGGGGTTGAGATAGGAAGTTGATGTCAGAGTGGATCGAGGTCACGATAACTCAAGAGGTAGAGCAGCGGCGTATCTAGCCGAAGATCGTGGGTTCGAATCCCGCTCGTGCCATTAACTTTGTTTCATCTCAACTAAAAACCTTAATTAATTGTAAAGATTTAATTGGTCAAGCGGATCACGAAATTAGTGAATTTAAAAAATTATACAAACTTAACTATCAACTCTCGTTTATTAAGAATCGTAAATTTTCATCAGGATGAAACAAGATCCTGGCGACTCTATTAATTATTATTATTTTAACATGCTTTCACTGCTCAAAAAATCATCTGTCCGATAGCAAAGAACGCGTGGTATACATCAAAACACCCTGACCTTTAAACAAAACCATAGTACGCATTATACAGACTGACCTTTTCATATACCGACCAATTTTTCTACCGCAGATATACAAAATGCATCATTTAACTTTTCTTTTTTCAAATAAACGCTGTTTTTTGCTGCATATTCTGAAAGTATGTCGTTTGTTTTAAAAAAATGATTGATTTCATTGGTTAAAAAAACAAAAAAACTTGGAAGACTATGAAGAAGACATTCTTTGTGGTACCTAGTAATAACATAGTTAGGAAAGAGATGAACCAGATGGTAGATCAGGGGTAGTTTAAATCGTCAGTTCAGTTCTATTCTTTACACTCAAATTTGGGTGTTTTACGTATATCTTTTGTTGATGTAATGACCTAGTTAAGAGACGACATTGGCTACTGGGCAAGGAATAGTTTTAGATTGGATATGAGGTGATATGGCGAAGAATGAAGTTTATCTGCTAAGATTTGGTTTCATTGAGCCCAATCCTCCATTTCTTGATCGGTTCATCAAATCAGGAAAAGATGCTTCTGAAGGTTTCCGAAGGCCATTACTGATTTCGGGTTTGCTGAAAGGATGGCGGTATTGTACTGCATAGGAATTGAAATCTTCTGACTAGATAATGATGTAGATGTCGGGGTATTATATACTGCGCCCTTTTAGAGCTATTGCATCCTCCATTCTTTGCCTAAAGCACACCGGTGCGACTTTTTCATCAGGAAACTTGATTAAAAGGCCCGGTTTCAGTGGTTGAATCTCTTCTATGGTCACATTGTACATCTCAAAACAATTCCTCTTGCGGGCAAGTGTAGCATCGCAGTTTGTTGTGCTGGTGTCTCCTCTGCCTCTTTGCAGAATCTGCATGTGCCATCTTGGATCATTCCGATCTTCTTTAGATGTCCATTTAGCTTTCAGTGTCCTGTTAAGAATCCTATTAGGATATGCAGTTTATTCCTGCTTCCTTTGACCCATTTTGTAATTTCTTTTCTTCCGAAATTTGTTAGGAGATTCTTGGATTGCCTGTGTCCAATGAGTTGCATTGTTTCTTCATTTTCTTTTTTTCTTTCTGTCTGAGATACTCATTAATAGTTTGAGTTCCTATGCCACAGAAGTGTTCGGGTCTTAACAGCGGTGTAGCAGCTGCTTTCCTGGCAGGGGTGTCCGCTTTCTCGTTGCCTTCTACTCCCATGTGTCCTGGGACTCAGCAAAGGCTGACTTTGTTCTGCGTATCTAACAGGTTAATTTGGTTTTGCATTTAACACCTATTGAACTAATGATATTTGAGCTTTGTTGGCTGCTTGGCTATCGGACATGATAGCTATGTTCTTGTTTTTTATTTTTTAAACAAGTTGAATTGAGTACATCTCTCGATTGCATGGACCTCAGCTTGGACTGTGTATTTTTCCCATGGGTTCTGAGTATTTGGTTCCAGGACCCCTGTACCTTCTTGGGTTATAGATCCATCTGTTCACAAAAAGATGGTGCCGTTCTTAAAGGGGTTTTCCTCTCGTTCCTGTCTGTTTTGGTACCTAGGTTTATACTGGGTGTATATTTCACTCGGTCTTGAACCTATAGATTGAACTTCATCTAGCTTCGTTCTTCATGGGTTTTTTTTTCGTTTTGGAAAAATTAGGAGGTCGCGGAACGTCGGTTTGGTATCGTGTGCCGTCGGACAATGAAGAGAGACGCGTAATTGCTTGAGAACGTTCTCAAGGGGAAGATGGTTGATTTTCGGCAGGAAGATTGTCACAAAAGGGGGATCTCGGGCGGTTCTCGGGTTCATAGTCACCTCATGAAATAATAATTTTATGCTGGTTTTTATGCAACGTTTCTCGGCCAAGGACGTCATCAGGCGCGGAGTGGGGCTTCGGAGAAAAATCCAGGCTTTTCCGAAGCGTGGGGCCTAAAGAGGTTAAATTTTTTTTGCAGTATAGCACCATCTTTGAACTGATGATATTTGAGCTTAGTGCTTTGATAACTGCTTGGCTATCTGACATGATAGCTATGCTCTTGTTTTTGTACCCTTTATTCAGGTTGAGTACATCTCTCGATTGCGTGAATCTCAGCTTGGAAGATACTGGTGTATTTTCCTATGGGCTCTGAGTATTTGGTTCCAGGACCGAATACTCCCGCCCCTGGACCTTCTTGTATTCTAGATCCATCTGTGTACCAAAGGATGGTGCCATTCTTAAAATGTTCAGACTATACTGAATAGAGACCAAATTCGGAATACCCGCTGCGGAAATGTGGATGTGGAGAAGAAGGATGTTCCGATTTGAAGATCAGCTGTATTAGCATGATGGTTTAGGGAAGGATGCCATTGTGTATAAAGGGCAGATACAGGAGTCGCACTCATTAAGCACCCGAGCAGCATTCCTTCCTGAACGGAGGACGCAGTCTACCACCCTGTGCCACATGGAATGGTATGAATGGTAGAGTGGTGGCGCCTGAGCCCGAATTAATGGGGTGGAATCACACTGGAATTTTCCAATATTGAAATAAGACAAATCATCAAATATGGGATACGTTTCATTGAATTGCCAATTTCAAACTTTTCCATTTGTATTATGATTTTAAGCAATTACTCGAGCCCAAATACTTTATGTATATAATATTTACACACACTGAGATTACAATTTTATATTACCAATCATACTAGTCTAATTTCACAAAAAATTGAGAACATTTTGGGGATGAAAGAATCTGCAGGAGCTAACGCTTGTGAACATTGCTCAATAATTAGATCTTGTGTGTGTCTTTTTCCAAGATAGTTTAATTAAACCGGCTGTGATTAAAAAATAAAACCAATTTAATAGACAGTGTTTAAAAAAGTATCCTGGAGCAATTTTAATCAAGGCAAGACAAACAAAACCGAGCTGCTTCACTTCTCTTAAACCTCTTACGACTAAGAAGGGACGAACTTAATCGAACCACTGTCACAAAAGTTATTCGATTTAATTTTTCTGTTGAAAAAGAGTTCGACAAGCAATTTACAACCGGACTTATTTACATCCGTCAAACGGCCCGGGGTTCAGGAGTGAACTTGATCTTGGTCCGACTCTCCCTGCCCGGGTGGTGGGGTTTTCCTTGTTGCGACACCGATTACATCAAGCGGACCCATTTCGGCCCAGCTTTCACCGGCTTCAGTGTGCCACGACGATGCGGAACGCCTGCTTCTTCTCCTTCCTGTTATTGTCCGCCCTCGTGAGTATCTCATTTGAAGACGTACAGAACATTTTATTATTATTTTTTAATTATCCCAAGCATAAAAACTACACTCCAGACTTGTTAACCTCCATAACTAGTAACAAAATAGTATGATTCTTCTTGAATTCAAATTTGACCAGATCAATTAAAAAATAATTGCATCTTGACTTGTCATATCAGGATGGAAAAAGCTCCAAGTGCTCAAGTTTATTAAAACAAATAAAAGAAAAGTCAGCAGAAAGTAAGGAACCCGTAAAGGCCTAAGGTTTAACAATTAAAACGAAAAAATAAAATAATTTTGATTCATTAGTACGTACATCATAGAGTATGGAGATTCGGAGTTCGAAATTTAAAATATAAACAGAGTTCTTAAATCAGGATGCTAAGGAAGTTGTGTAAAACAGCCAGGAGCTCTTTTTAGTCAGACTTCGTTAACACTGATCTACATATTTTGAAAATTTAATATTTTTATCAGCATAATATGAAGGTTGGAGAGCTTGAAATTTAACATAGAATAATTTGCGTCTTAGATCAGGACGCAAAGGAAGTTTTGTCCTAGGAAAAATACCCAAGAGCTATTTTTTTTGCTCAGAATTCGTTAAAACTGATTTACATATGTTGAAAATCTAGCATGTGTATCTAGCATAATATGAAGGTTGGAGAGCTTGAAATTTAACATATTAGAATAATTTGCGTCTTAGATCGGGAAGCTACGGAAGTTTTGTCCCAAAAAAATACCCAAAAGCTAGGTTTTTTGCTGAGAATTCGTTAAAACTGATTTACATATTTTGAAAATCTAGTACGTATATCTAGCATAATATGAAGGTGGGAGAGCTTGAATTTTAACAGAGAAGAATTTGCGTGTTAGATCAGGACGCTAAGGAAGTTTTTCCCCATGAATAATACCCAAGAGCTTTTTTTTTGTCATACTTCGTTAAAACCGATTTACATATTTTAAAAATCTACCATTTATATCAGCATAATATGAAGGTTGGAGAGTTTGAAATTTAACAGATTAGCAGAGGTTAACTTTTAAATCGGAATGGAAGATTTTTTGTAAAAAAAAAAAACGTTCAGGAGCTCTTTTTTTGACAGTCTTTAATAAATTTTACATACTTTTTATGTAAGCTTCTTTGGCATAAGTGCATAAACCGGCTTTGTCATACAAATGGTGAAATTAAATTGCCATTTATATTAAGTTTATGGAACGATTCAAGAGCTTGAAATGTGAAGTAAGCATATAAGCAGTTTGCGCCTTATCAGGTTGCTAAGAAGTATCGTTGTAAAACTCAACTTTTACTTATCGTTTAAGCATTTGTATTATAATGATACGAAATTTCACGAGCTCAAGCTATTTTGGTTCCTTAGGATTTAGGTATGTTGTATAAGGATGATGACAAGCTGATGATATAGCTAATGATGAGATTCAAGCTTAAATATGTATATCAGTATACGAAAAAAAATTAGAATAAGAATTTTAAGAAGTTCAGAGCATTGGAGATATTAGCACTTGTATCAGGATGGCGAGGAGCTTCTGGATACAAAATGTTCAAAGACTTAGGGAAAAAAGTGGTTTCCAAATTTCGAGAAGTTAACTTTTATATCAGGATAACAAGAAACCACTAAGGTTCAAGTCTCTGCAAATGAAAGAGAGAAAGAGAGAGAGAGAGAGAGAGAAAGAGAGAGAGAGAGAGAGAGAGAGAGAGAGAGAGAGAGAGAGAGAGAGAGAGAGAGGTTTTAGTAGGGAAAAATAGTAATTTAACTTTAGGAGAAAAAGATGGAAAAAATTTTAGGAAGGGAGAGAGGGAGAGAGATTTTAGGAGCGAAAAAGAGTGGTTTAACTTTAGGAGGAAAAAGAGATTATGACTTTAGGTGGGGAGAGAGGGAGGGAGGAAGCCTCAGGGAAGAAGAAAGAGAGAGGGAGAGAGAGAGAGACAGACAGAGAATTTAGAAGGGAAAGAGGGTGATTTCCCTTTAGGTGCAAAAAGAGTTTTTAACTTTACAGAAGGAGGGAGAGAGAGGGGGGTGAGAGAGATTTTAGAAGGTAAAGAGGGAGATTTTAACTTTAGGGAAGGAGAGAGAGAGAGAGAGACAGGAGAGAGAGAGAATATTGTTTTATTTAAAAAATCTCGCAGATTTAGGTTGCGAACGACCTACAACCTTTCAATTAACGAAAAAGAGAGAGCGAGAGAGAGTGAGAGAGCGAGAGAGAGTGAGAGAGAGGGAGACAAAAAGAAGAGGGGAATTAATTAAGAAAGGTATGGAAAGACAGTGAGAAAGATAAATAATAAAGAGAAAGAAGAGGTAATTAAGAGAGAATGAGAAAGAGAAACTGGTTATGAAAAAATAGGAAGGGAAAAAGAGGGAGTGAGTCAGTTAGTAAAGGAGGAGGAGAGGGAATGAATGAGAGAGAATAGAAAGAAAATACAAGAATTAGGGAGATAAATAGATACATAGAGAGAAAAACTGATTAAGAGAGGTACGGAAAGAGTGAGAAATAAAAACTAATAAAGACAGACAGAGAGTCAGAGAAAAACAATAATCAAGAGAGAGTGGCCAGATAGACAGATGGAAGGAGAGAAAATATTAGAAGTAATAAAGAGAAAAAAAGCGAAAGAGAGAGAAAGAGAGAAATTTATTAAGAGAGGTGCGGAAACAGAGTGAGAAAGAAAAAGAATACAAAAGAAATTAGTAATTAAGAGAGAAGGAGAAAGAGAGAGTGAGTGAGAAAAAAACTGATTATGAGAAAAAAGAAAGGGAAAAATAAAGAGGGAGTGTGTGTGAGGAAGGGGCGAGTGAGCGAGAGAGCGAGTGAGAGAGAGAGAGAGAGAGAGAGAGAGAGAGAGAGAGAGAAAGAGAGAGTGAGAGAGAAGGGTGTTAGCCAAGATGTTTCGTTGATTAGCAAAATAGTGAAATTTTCACCTCGTTAGTTTTAGACGCGTGCCACTTTCACGCGTTACGTGATATTTATTTTAAATTGGTCAACAATAGCTGTCAATATTCATTTAAGAAAACATTCCATTTTCTTATAATAATTGTACTCGTTTTGTATTGACAGCGTCTTAATAAAATCCATGATAGTCTTATTTCTACAGGCTTCTGAGAGTAAAGATTTTCCTTCGTTTATTATTTATTAAAGGCCGGTTTACCGGCAGTCAAGTCAAGCTCCATGGGCATAAACGCGGGCCGGTTTCGTCATAAAAAAGGTTTAATTAACTTTGATCGTGTTGTACAAATTGATGGAGTCTTCAGGGCGCTGTAAAATTTAAATGCTTGGGATTTCTGTATAAATCGTGCGTTTGGGTTAAAAAGCTTTTACGGTAGAAAGTAGTTTTGTCTTTTCAATTTTTGTCTTATTTCACGAATTAACAAGAAACGTACTATATGTCTTTTTTTTGGAGGGAACAACAAAAAATTACAAAAAATAAATCATAAACTGCTGGGTATAACACTTCAACGCTTAAATTTTATAAATAGGCATGATAAAAACGATTCAAAATTCAATTTAAAATGTGATTCTTGCTAGACTTTGAACCAGTAGATTAATATTTTATCCAGAAATTAAATTTAAAAAAAGGTACGATAATTGGAATTGGCATAAAAATAATTTATAAATTAATCTCCGCCCAAAATTTATCCATTACATTTTTTTTAAATTTATCAATTTATTTGTAAAGAATCAAGACAGTTCCTAGATTTTTAATTTGTCGAAATGTTATAATACATAAGTCATTTATTTGATGATTAAGTTTAATCTCCTGCCTTTTATGTGCGAAGTCGTCATATCAGGAACTCGTTGGATATTTAACTAAAGTAATTGTTTTTTTATTATAGCCCGGAGTAATTCTTCACTTAAGCAAATTACGAAGTAGTGGCAGCAAGAGTTAAGAATCAGGAGCTTTATGGATTCAAAATGCTTGCATTACCCCAAATAACTGTGAAGTAGTTCTATCAGGAGATCAACAAGAGCATAAAAGGCCCCAGGACCTCGGCGAATGACAAATACCTAGCTGAATTGAGTTTATTGCCCTAAGAAATCCTTTACTTGGAGAATCTCCGAATGGGTTTTGGTAGCAGGAATAAGAATCAAGAGCTTAATTGATTTTAGGAGTTGGCATTACCCCAAAATAACAGTAGAGAAGTCCAATCAGGAAATCAACAAGAGCATAAAAGACCCCAGGACCTCGTCGAATGACAAATACCTATCTGAATTGAGTTTATTGCCCGAAGAAATCCTTTACTTGGAGAATCTACGAATGGGTTTTGGTAGCAGGAATAAGAATCAAGAGTTTAATTGATTTTAGGAGTTGGCATTACCCCAAAGTAGCTGTGAAGTTTATTATCAGGAGATCAACAAGAGCATAAAAGACCCCAGGACCTCGTCGAATGACAAATACCTAGCTGAATTGAGTTTGTTGCCCGGAGTGTTTCTTCACTTGGAGAATCTTCGAATGAGTTTTGGTAGCAGGAGAAAAATCAAGAGCTTAATTGATTTTAGGTGTGGGCTTTACCCCAAAAACTGTAAAGAAGTACTATCAGGACACCAACAAGAGCATAGAAGACCCCAGGAGCTTGTTGAATGAAAAACATTAGCTGAATTGAGTTTGTTGCCCGGAGTGATTCTTCACTTGGAGAATCTGCGAATGAGTTTTGGTAGCAGGAGTAAAAATCAAGAGCTTAATTGATTTTAGGTGTGGGCTTTACCCAAAAAACCTGTAAAGAAGTACTATCAGGACATCAACAAGAGCATAGAAGACCCCAGGAGCTTGTTGAATGAAAAACATTAGCTGAATTGAGTTTGTTGCCCGGAGTGATTCTTCATTTGGAGTAATCTACGAATGGGTTTTGGTAGCAGGAATAAGAATCAAGAGTTTAATTGATTTTAGCGGTTGGTATTACCCAAAAATAGCTGTGAAGTATACTATCAAGAGATCACCAAGAGCATAAAAGACCCCAGGACCTCGTCGAATGACAAATAGCTAGCTGAATTGAGTTTATTGCCTGAAGAAATCCTTTACTTGGAGAATCTACGAATGGGTTTTAGTAGCAGGAATAAGAATCAAGAGCTTAATTGATTTTAGGAGTTGGCATTACCCCAAAGTAGCTGTGAAGTTTATTATCAGGAGATCAACAAGAGCATAAAAGACCCCAGGACCTCGTCGAATGACAAATACCTAGCTGAATTGAGTTTGTTGCCCGGAGTGTTTCTTCACTTGGAGAATCTTCGAATGAGTTTTGGTAGCAGGAGAAAAATCAAGAGCTTAATTGATTTTAGGTGTGGGCTTTACCCAAAAAACCTGTAAAGAAGTACTATCAGGACATCAACAAGAGCATAGAAGACCCCAGGAGCTTGTTGAATGAAAAACATTAGCTGAATTGAGTTTGTTGCCCGGAGTGATTCTTCATTTGGAGAATCTACGAATGGGTTTTTGTAGCAGGAATAAGAATCAAGAGCTTAATTGATTTTTGGAGTTCCCTTTACCCCAAATAACTGTAAAGCAGTACTATCAAAACATCAACAAGAGCATAGAAGACCCCAGGAGCTTGTTGAATGAAAAACATCTAGCTGAATTGAGTTTATTGCCCGGAGTGATCCTTCACTTGGAGAATCTGCTAATGAGTTTTGGTTGCAGGAGTAAAAATCAAGAGCTTAATTGATTTTAGGAGTTCCCTTTACCCCAAAAACTGTAAAGAAATACTATCAGGACATCAACAAGAGCATAGAAGACCCAAGGAGCTTTTTGAATGAAAAACATCTAGCTGAATTGAGTTTATTGCCCGAAGTGATAATTCACTTGGGGAATCTTCGAATGAGTTTTGGTGGCAGAAGTAAGATCGGGAGCTTAATTGATTTTAAGTGTGGGCTTTACTCAAAAATCCTGTAAAAAAGTACTATCAGGAAATCAATAAGAGCATAGAAGACCCAAGGAGCTTGATGAATGACAAATCCCTAGCTGAATGGAGTTTATCGCCCGGAGTGATCCTTTACTTGGAGAATATGCGAATGGGTTTTGGTTGCAGGAGTAAGAATCAATAGATAATTGATTTTAGGATTTGGCATTACCCTAAATAACTGTAGAGAAGTACTATCAGGAGTTAAATTTGGGGAAACTGTGAAGGGGTCGTGGTAGCAGGTGTTAAGAATCAGGTTATTGACTCCATGAGTTGGGCCTTACAGAAAAACTAAGATGATGTCGTCCTATAAGTTTATTAAGAGTTTAAACAGCCCCAGGAGCTCAGGCCAACCTTTAGCTAACTTGTGTTTAAATAACCAATATATTAGGAACATGATAATGTTCTAAGGAGGTCAACAAGCTCCAGGAATTCCTCGCTAAATTATGTTTGTTATTGTAGCAAAGTCTAGATCTTTATCACCACCATCATAAATTATTTGGGCCTTGAGCCTTCTTTTAATGTTTAACGACTGTTTCAGACGGTAACAGCCGAACCGGCAGGAGTGGTCCAAGCTTTACTCGAAGGCACCTTCGGCACGCCGCTTTTCTACCGGACCCAAACCGTCAAATTCGACTCGGAAGTGGCGAAACGCCGCAATCCCGAGTTCGAGGCGATCCACGGCCATCATTCGGAGTACCTGATCGAACGTTTCGGCCTGGGCGAAGACGGACGTCAAGCGGAACGCCTTCAGAAGCAGAGACAAAGGGACGCGCAACTTTATACAAACAACTACTAGTTTAATATCTTTTTATAATTTTTAAATAAAATAGTTTTTTAATGTTTGTTGATTTTTTTCGAGTTTATGTATCAGGACCGAGATCAGCTCCTCAATGGATGCAGCCCTACTATGAGGTTGTTTGATCAGAAGGTCAACAGGCTCCAGGAGTCAAAATCATATATGTAATATCTGTGAAATTAGTATCAAGTGGCAGCCAAGAGTAAAAAAACAATTGATTCCATCAAGGATTTAAGGATTTGGTTTTACCCCAAAATAACTGTGTAGAAGTACTCTGGGAAGTTCAAATTGGGGAAACTGTGAAGGAGTCGTGATAGCAGGATCTAAGGATCAGGAGGTTATTGACTCCAGGAGCTAGCTTTACAGAAAAACAGAGATGAATTGGTACTATAAGGAGTTTATTAGGAGCTTAAAAAGTTGTAGGAGCTCGTTGAACGTCGAACCTCTAGCTAAATTATGTTTAAACAGCATATATATTAGGAACATGATAATCTTTATACAAACAACTACTAGTTTAATACCTGCTTATTATCAATTAATCTTTTTATGTAAGGTATTGATTAAAATGAAAAAAAGTTAGTGTCACGAGCGGGATTCGAACCTACGACCTTCAGCTAAATACGCCGCTACTCTACCACTATCGTGACTTCGATCCTCTCCGACACTAACTTCTCATCTCAACCGGGAATTTTTCGAACAAGCCGAAGGTCTTGGGTTCGAATCCCGTTCGTGACACTAACTTTTTCATTTCAACCCATACCTTACATAAAAAGAGTAATTAATTTAAAAAAGTTATTTGGTTAATCGTACCACGAAATATAATGGATCTGTTTATTCTTTTTAAATAAAATAGTTTTTTAATGTTTGTTGATTTTTTTTTCCGGGTGTATCAGGATCTGACCAGCTCTTCAATGAATGAATTCCTACCAGGAATTTGTTTGATCAGAAGGTCCACAGGCTCCAGGAGTCAGTCATATATATAATTTCTGTGAAATTAGTATCAAGTGGCAGCAAGGAGTAAAAAAAAACAATTATTTCTGTCAAGGATTTTTATGCGTTAAGTATGAAGATGTCTTACTAGCAGAAAAACTGGCCTAACAAACAGCTGGTGAGTTAGTGTGCCAGAAGCTCAAGATTCTTCTATGATGAAGTCGTCATAACAGGAGTTCCTACAACTTTAAACACTAAAAAAACTGAAGCTCACTACACAACAGACTTCTAGTAAAATCCAGTTTGTGCAGCTTGTGTATCACGAGCTTACTTGACTACCGACCTCCAGCTGAATTTAGTTTGTACAGCCAAGTTTCCGACACATCGTCAGGTAAATTGAGCCTCGAATAACGTTACGTATTAGTAAATCCATTACAGTTCGTGGTCCGATTGACCAATTAACATTTTTCAATTAATTAATATTTATGAAAGGTATTGGTTAAGATAAAAAAAGTCAGTAGAAATGATAAATGATGGAGTGAGTGTGGTGTTCAATCCTTTTTAAAAAGATAGTTCCTACTCACAGTAAGATGTTTTGCAACGATCCGGATTTCGAGCCTTTTAGCTCATCATCAGTTTGAAAGACTTCTACAACCACGTCTCTCGACATGAATTGCAAAAGTGAACCCGCTGATACCTCCGCCAACGCGACGTTCCAATTAGCAGCTGATTTTTTTAATGGCGCTCGATTTGAACGTGCGAAACGCGGAAATTATAACAAAAATAAATATTATAATAGTAAATACTTAATATTATTAAATTACTATAAAAATAATAATAATTAAAATAATTAGTTTAATTATTTGGATGTTTGTTATTATTTATGTACATATTTAAAATGGGAGGTAGATCAAAATCTGTAATATGCATTTATCACCATGTTCAATTTTACATTTTTTAATTTCAAATTTCTCAAACCAATCTAATTCTTTCCCTTTGTTGAAACTATGTAACACTCTTGTATTTAGATTTGAGTTGAAATTATGTTTTGTTTCTTTTTGATGGTCCTTAAATTCCGAAAATTTGCTCGGTTTAGGCAAGTGTTCTTTTACTCTTGTTTTTATTTCTCTACCGCGGTATATTTATTTGTGTTATAATTTCCGTGTTTCGCACGTTCAAATTGAGCGCCATTACAAAAAATCAGCTGATAATTGGAACGTCGCGTTGGCGGAGGTATCAGCGGGTTCACTGTGGCAATTCATGTCGAGAGACGTGGTTGTAGAAGTCCTTCAACCTGATGATGAGCTAAAAGGCTCGAAATCCGGATCGTTGCAAAACAACTTACTGTGAGTAGGAACTATCTTTTCAAAAAGGATTAAAAAAGACAGTGTCACGAGCGGGATTCGAACCCACGACCTTCGGCTAGATACGCCACTGCTGTGCCACTTGAGCTATCGTGACCTCGATCCACTCGGACACAACTTCCCATCTCAACCCCACCTTTTGAATTTTCCCTCCTTTTAGCCATTTTTCAAATGTCGTGTAATCTATTTGATTCTCGGCGACAAACGAAATGGCCACGGAGAGCTTTCGTGAAGATATACTTCAGTTTAACTATTAAATCCATTACAGTTCGTGGTCCGATTGACCAATTAACATTTTCAATTAATATTTATGATAGGTGTTGGTTAAGATACTCAAGTGGTAAAGGTCGTGGGTTCGAATCCCGCTCATGACACTGACTTTTTTATCTTAACCAATACTTTACGTATTAGGATGGTAATAAATCTTAGGAGTTCACAAATCTTCTTATCTTTTACAGACATAACTCGTAGGACGGATTTATTCAACCGTTTTTGAATCGGATGCACGCAAGGATGTCAGGTAGGATAAACTGTTCAAGGTCCCGTTTATCCCCCGTTTACCGTTTTTCGAAAATCCTTTGATCCTGGATCGACAAGGCTCTTACCTACTCCTCCGTCCTCCGACATACGTTTATTGTGAAACCGGGTGATCCGTCAAAAAATATGACAATCTGGAAAAATTTACTCAGAAGAAAGAATACGTTGTCTATATTGTGAAACTATGGCACAATGTTACCCGGCTTTCTTCCCATTTTATTTTATTTTATTTTTTATTGAATGAGCACTCTTTAGCTCTAAGGGAATTTATAATTCGACGGACTTTTTTTTAAAGTTCTAAGACCCTCGACGGAACCCTTTGGGAAATCTTGTCTCGAATTAAAACAAAGCGAAGCTGTTCGAGAGCGCAGGACACGAGATGAAAGGGGGACCGTTTGAGTTGTTGAAAACTAGATAATATTTTAAAACTAAGTTTTTGTATATTTCGACAAAGAAAATAAACAACGGGCAGAGTGGGAAAATTGCCCTAAAAGGCTTAGCCGTCTTTCAACTTGATGAAACCAATTCGAAACAAACCCCGCGGATTTTAACAACATTCCAAAATTGTTATAATTACAATAAAAACAAGACAAACCACATCTTAAAATGGCAGGATGATAAATATGATTGTAATTTCCAGCCAAATATTTATTTTTTCAATTAAGACCACGCAGGTCGTACAAGAAGAACGGTATAAACCTGTGTTTTTCTCTGCGAACAACGTGTTTCTCATTGTAGTGAATGAATATTTTAATTTAATTAAATAATTCAAATGTTAAATGTTTTATTTATATTTATAATTATTATTTGTAATTAAATATTTTTGTACACATTCAAGGAAGCCGACCGATATGAGAAATACAAATTCGCCTTTAATTTAATGAATTTGTACCAGAATCGACAAACGTACAGTAAATTTAATCATTAATTACCTGTATAATCTATTAGGATAGTAGCAAATCCGAATAACTTGTTACAAAAAAAAATTACAATTAAGGTTTTTAGTTGAGATAAAAAAATGAATGGCACGAGCGGGATTCGAACCCACGATCTTCGGCTAGATACGCCGCTGCTCTACCACCTGAGCTATCATGACCTCGATCCACTCGGAACTAACTTCCCATCTCAACCGCACCCTTTGAATTTTCCCTCCTTTTTGCCATTTTTCAAATGTCGTGTAATCTATTTGGTTGTCGGCGACAATAAAATGGCCACGGAGAGCTTTAGTGAAGTATACTTCATTTTAATTCATTAAATTCACTAATTTCGTGGTCCGCTTGACCAATTAATATATTACAATTAATTAAGGTTTTTAGTTGAGATGAAAAAAAGTCAATGTCACGAGAGGGATTCGAACCCACGACCTTCGGCTAGATACGCCGCTGCTCTACCACCTGAGCTATAGTGACCTCGATCCACTCGGACATTAACTTCCCATCTCAACCCCACCTTATGAGTTTTCCCTCCTTTTGCCATTAATTGGTCAAGCGGACCATGAAATTAGTGAATTTAACAGTATTATGATTGAAAAAATTCTTTATTAAACATACAAATAAAAATAATCTACTACAACATTAACTAAGACAAAGCACACAGCATAGATTAAAAATCAACAAACCTATAAAATTAGTTAGTATATACAAAAATAAAAACGTCCATGGGGTGTCTTTATTAACTTTGAATAAGAAACAGAGAAAATATTTATTTAATATTTAATAAAAAACCTAGTTCTTTTTTGTAGTTCATGGCTTCCTTTGCAAAATTGATTAAATTTAAACAATGGTATTTAATTACAAAGAAATTTAGGTATTCTCTTATGATAGCCTAAGTGATTCTGAATTCTGCCAAAATTGGGCAAGGAAAAAAAAAAAAAAAAAAAAAGTCTGCCTGCCAGACCCGATTCGGTATTTTGCCATCTTCAGTGTTGCACCTGATTGATTTAGAAGCTCGCCTACGTCAAATCTCTAGGAAAATTTTATAACAGCCCTACTGACCAAGTGACAATGGAGGAGTTTTAAAAGAAGTGACTTCAAGCTTTTTACTTGAAAATCCATCAACTTCTATGCAGAGTTAAGCCGATGGAAATAAAAGGAAACGCGAATGAAACAAATCTTTACTTGTTAAAACAAAAGGATTTTCAACGATCTTAAACTACATTAATTATTTGAGCTTATGCATTTATTATGAACAATTATTATAAAGGGGGCGTCGGTGG